CTCAAGAAATATATTGTTTTCAAGTGATATGGATATGTAATTGTTAGTTAGTTATTTATTACGATCGGGAATAGTTGAATGAATTGATTACAGTTGATGAGGATTATTTGCGGCATGTTGTGCGTTTAAGCGAACGGAAAAACCAAGTGGAACAGCGATTGCGTAATATTGTTTACAACGAGGCCATGGTAGGCTCTTTAATTATTTGTGCTCTTTTCTTTATTGACTGAATGCTCTTTGTTGGACTCGACGATGAATCTAATTAAAACTGATAACTCAAACTGTTCTCATTGATGCTATTCTTATAAATATAGTCTGGACGGTGTAATTCGCGTACATTCTGAAATCTCCGATTACACGATCAGTTTCGTCCGTTTTCTTGCATAGTAGTATTGTTTGATAGGCCGAACGCTCAAGAGAATACTTTTGAATTGTTTGCGATTATCAGCTATGAATTTAGTGCTTGCTAGTGCTTAATTTCAAATTGGATTGACTCTTGAAGCTATTTTAGCAACATTTTTTTGTTTAGCGAATCGTAGACCCAATCGAAGAGTGTTTATTGTTGTCGATGGAGAGTGAATATGAGAAGCGGAAATTGAACGACGAACGTGTGGAGGTAGCGAATGATTCAGGTTGGTCGTTGTGGAATAAAATGATCTGATATTTTTTTGATTCATTCTATTTCCTTCTTCACTGATACTATTCCGGTCTGAACGGACGGACAGTCACGTGCGAGAGAATAAGTTGGATTCTTTTTTTTGTTGTTGTTGTTGAAAATGTTTACTGTGTTAGGCAACCATTAAACAGCATCAATCACACACTCACGTTGTCATTTTTTGCTTAATGATAGTAGTAATGTGGCTTGGATCAATTGATTGTGCTCAATAGGAAAGAAGGCAGTGAGAAAATTTTAAGAAACGAAAGAAAAAGAAAGCGTCTAGCTTGGTGATGAGTCATTTGTATAGTGGTCAGGCATTTTGAGTCACTCACCATTAAAGTCAAACATCATTTATTACGCATCGATTGTTAGTTGAAAAGATATGCGGGAGTGTCATGTTGAGTCTAGAAATGCGTTAGGTGCATTTGATTCATTGCTAGGGAAGTAGTGTTTGATACATTTCGAAATCACTGTCTTGTATCTTATATATGTGTAAATTCGAGTGTAATCCAGGTGCGGGGTGAATGGTTGGTTTCCGTGTAGATATGCATTGTGATGGGATAGGTCATTGGAGATTGGATTTCTTTTTTTTTNTTTTTTTTTTTGGGGGGGGGGGAGATTGTGAGCCTGGCAGTAATATAATTAGTTTTGCAAGATGTGAAGATAAGTGAACTGACAGAAATATGATCACTTGAAGAGTTTGAAAATATTTGACGCCAAATATTTTTTAGCAAGTTTTGTTGCGAACTCGGACATCTGCAAACACATGAACGAAGAGCAATGGCTTGCGGCTAAACAAAAGTTCGAGGCACTGAAAAAACCCGATCATATTCTACATACAACAAGCACAACCGCAGCATCGGCTTCGTCACCGTTCGCCAAGCAACATATTCATTTCGATTATCACCCGTTTAACGAGACCGAGATTCTGTCAAAATGTATGAGTCCGTGGCCGGATTCCGATTCCGAACAACGCCCTGATCGTCGACCACCACCCTCACCTGCACCTTCAACATCTTCCTCGTCGACATCCTCATCAACGCTGTCATCATCTGAGACATCCACGTCTGAGTCTGAAAATGAAGATGAAGAGATGGACGATAATGAAACGCTGAATTCAGAGGATTCAAAGAAGCGACGATCAGCAGTGACGGTCATCAAAAAAGAAATTGACTTGAAATTGACGAAACAATCAATAAAAGTTGAGATAGACGACGACACTGTTCACCCGTTGAATCCAAGTATATGCAGTCAGCAGCAAAAAGAGCAACTCTCTGTGGAAAGTGGTGGCATCAAAGAGAGCGATTGCAATGTTGTTGTGGTGTGTTTATTTTTTATTTGTACATTTCTTCGGTGATTNAATGTAGTTGACGAGATTGTTCGAAATTGTTGGAATTTCTCTTTTTTATATTGATTTTAATGTTTGGAGGAATTGATTCGATCAGAACTCTATTGTGGTTGCGATTAATTAGTGATAGTCGTAATAATTTTCAGCAGCTCTTAAAAGCAGTTGTTGATTTATGAGTGAGATGTGTTATGTTGCGAATGTAATTATAATTGACATTTTAATTGCTGTTCATTTTCCAGCCTCAACCAAATGACGGTCGTGAATGTTTGGTTGAGTCGAGTCCATCACCCGAACTTACCACACAGTCGTCGATTGCGTCGCCGAAAAAATCGAAGCACTTGCCGTGTTCGTCGGTGTGCTCAAGCACCGCGCCAACCTCAAGAACGACGACGAACCTAGACGATACACGACGGCTGCGAACCGCCATAATCAGTGCCACTTCGCAGCCATCTGTCGTGCCCCAAACGAAGTCGCCAGCTGTTTGTGGTGGTGAATCCCGCAGTGGGAATGCACCATCCACTTCGACATCATCACGACGAAACTCACCACGTCTATCGGCCTCACGTCGAAACTCCGAATCCTGCCCATCCTCATCGGATACCGCCATATCACTGTCTTCGCCAAAGCGCGCCTCACTGCCCGTCTCGTCGCCATCGGCTGCATCCACCACCTCATCGTCATCTGTGGGCAGCGTTTTCGGGAAACGTTTGCCAGCCGCAGCACAGAAATCAGGAAGTGGTGCTAAAGCAGTGGTGAACAGTGAGAAAATGGCGGATCGAGAGTCATCGACGATGAGTGCCGATAGAAATGACAAGCAAAAGAAGGAGATTGCCTCAGCGGACGGCAGTTGTCATGAGCGTGAGAGCACTAGCGTGAATGCAAGAAGTCAAAATTCGAGACCATTCAGGAAAAGGCGATTTGTTGCGGCGGCATTGACAACTTCGGTAAATTCTTCTGGGGACGATCAAAATGGATTGTTCAGCGAACGTTTGACTGAGACGTTATTATCATGCGAAAATGTCGGTGAGAATACTGATAACATCGATAACGATCAACAACAACAACAAATCGAAATATCATCATTTAAAAATAATGATGATATGGTCGTCAAGTCATTGCCACCGTCAAAATCCCCCTGCACTAAATCGTCGACGCATGCGAACAGCTTGAGCGATGACAATTTAAGCCAACAGCACCAGCAGCATCACGAACCACCATTATTAGCCAGAAAACGACAGTTTCATTCGAATTATTCCGTTTCGTCACCGCTTTCGTTATCGGAACCTCAGCAGATCACTCCGAAGCAAGAAGTATCGGTGAGCAATGCCATCCAATCACCGTCATCCTCATCGCTGTCCTCTTCGTCAGTGACCGTATCGTTGACACAAACTCAGAACACTCAAGCGCCCTCAACTGAAGAGGCGAATAGCCACAGCTCAACGCTAACATCCACAACGGTATCAAGGCGACGGCAGTTGATTGGCTCCTCGCAGGAACACAAACAACAACAACAACTGATTGATCTATCGCATACGTCACCAAAATGTTCGTCGCTCTCACCGCCGCCATCCAAAAAGATGGAACCATCAGCAGTGCCGAAAGGAGAAGAGCAAAATCAGTCTGTTTCTGAATTACAGCCTCAGAGGCAAGCAAAAACGACAAAGAGGAATGCAACTGCTGAGCAAGCGTCGTCAGCATCTTCGTCATCAGAATCGCAGAAGGAATCGAATAAACTGGCGAAATTGCGACAAAACGCGCAGTCACCCGAATTACCGTTGCGTTCCGTGAAGATGGAAGATGTTCTGGAGAAAATGGATTTGACCGGTGCTAATACAACAGAACTGCAGCAATCGGAAGGTATCGTCGCGAAAGAAGAGTTGAAGAGTGCTGATCGTTGTCTGATTGCTGCCGATCTGAGTATGACCGATGAAAATATGTCATCAATTCAGGTTAGGTTTGCCGATCGTTTCGCATATCTATCTTCCCAATTGCTTTCGTTTGATTGTTTAGTGAAATTTCCGTTGTGAATTACTCTCTAGGAACAATCATTGTTGCTTTGATATATGGTTTTTAAAGCTTTTTTTTGGTACGCAAAATTACCTGTAACGTGAATTTAATGGTAATATTGTGTTTTTATGAAAATTTATTCAATTTGATGATGATTTTGGCTGCGTTTCGAGTGTTCGTATGAACTTGGAATCATTTAAGAACGACGAAAAATGCGTTGCCGTTCGGCGGCCAATAAAAATCAAAATCGCATTCGGAGAAGGGACGTTGCGAAAGCATGAAGATATTGATGGGTTGAACAAGAAGAAAAAGGATAAAAAGAAGAGTAAAAAAAGGAAACATCACGGCGATCATCGTCATCATCACCATCATCACGACAGCAAACAACATCAAGTGGAAGTTGAAGTAGGCGTTATCCCTTTGTCTGCGTTATGTTCGATCATTCAGAAGAATACATTCTGCTCTATCGGATCTCAGAAACTCTCATCGTTGCGACGAAATCTTTCGGTTCAACAACTAATGAGTTAAGGTGAATGCTGCGAAAATGCAATGAAATGGAAAATGAGCTAATTCGAAGTAATTTGGCGTGATTGTGCTCATTAATGATTTCGTTTATGTGATGATGTGATCAGCAGTTTGAACGCATTACCACTTTAATACAGATGGATTGATGGATATCTTTTTCTTCGAAAACTGCCATAGCAATGTAGCATTAGCAACGATATCCATCTGTTCAGAAAGCGTTCACTCTGCCTGATGGTTGTCTTCTCCACTTTGTTAAGCGATTATGATGTTGAAGACTAAACGATTATAGTGTAATGAAGGGATGTGCATTTACAGACGAACGAAATAATTGCGGAATGTTCCAAGAAGGTGAATGAAATCGAAAATGTCGATGATAATAAGTGCGAAGAGTTCGTCGCGTCAACCTATGATGATCCATCACATTCGCGGATTTTGATGCGGATTTCGAGAAAAAAGAATCACTCGAATACTGTCTCACCAACACCGCCACAGCAAAACCAACAACAGCAAAAACAGCAACAACAACAAGTGGTCATTCCTGCTAATCACAACAGTTGGTTTTATTCTTGTTATTAAAAGTATTGTTTAAACGGTTTTCGTTGTTGATTTTATTATTCGTTGTTGACTAAATGTGATTAATTCATCGTTTAAGAATTGTTTTTTGAGTGAGACTCGAGAAGAAGGATAATAAATTTGATTAGAAGTCTCGTTTACAGGAAGTAGTGAGTTGAAAGCAAGCAATTTGATACACGGCAACGATGAACAGCCACGAATACCAAAGTTGAAGATTCGTATTGGTAAGAGCAACGATCGAGAGCATCACGATGCATCGCAAATCGCAGAACGTCAAACCGACGTGTCCAAGAAAGCAACACGTGCAGTGATTAACTTCTTCGATAAGGAGCACTCGAGAGAGTTGAACATATCACCCGATGTGACATTGTCGCGAAACACGTCTTTACCGAACATCATAGCCGAGCCATGCTCTCTCTCTTCTGCTACTGCTACTACTACTGCTGTTCAGTTCTCACCGCAATCAGGTAGTCTCGTTTTATCTGTATTGATCAAGTGGTAGTACCCAGATATTATAATTGTTATTTTGATTGTTCATCTCTGGTGCGTGCTTGACAGCTGAATTTAAACTTTAGAAGCATCGGATGAAGAGGCAGAACGACGACTACGCGCTCAGACTGACAAAGTGTTGAATCAACTGAGTGGTTGGAGTGGTGGTGGTGCTGGTGGTGGTAGTGGTGGCTATGAAACGGAAGCTGCTAGAGGAGGGTCGTCAGGTGGTGTAGACACGAATGTGGCAGCGTGTCTGGGCAGAGGAGCGCATCTGGCGGGTGGCAGAATCGGAACACGAACCGAAATCGGAACAAGAGTGTCCGCCGACATACAATTGCCGATGATATCACGTCAGCAGGCACCAAATCAGATGTGCTCTCAAATGAATCGCCTTCAAAATATGGTCAATAATTTTGGGCACAGTCAACAAGTGCAACAACAACAACAACGTTGTACTGCTGCTGCAACTACTGTTGCTATACCATCAGCAGCAGCAGCAGCAGTGGTAGCTCAGCGAACCATTCGAGAACGCGACCAAGAGCCATTCGCACGACTGGTTGGTCGTAGTCCTTTGTTGAAACCATCAGCGAATGCCCTCATCAACAATCCTCTGGCCGCATTTAACACGGCCGCAGTGTCACAGTGGCTCTCATCACAAAAGGCTGTGTTCGGTGTCAATATGAGCAATACAATGCAAGCTGCTACGAGTAGTAGTAGCAGCAGCAGCACCCATCAGCATCGTGCCCAACAACACTACAACAACACCCTGGCAGCACTATCGCAATCGCAGCAGTCTCAAGCGTCAGCATCCAGTTTATCGCATTTACAATCGTTTTTATCATCGACCGCCTCCTCGTCGTCGTCATCGGGTAATAGTTTATCGCACCAACAATTCCAGCAGCAGCAGCAGCAGCAACCGCCATATCGTCAGTACCCACAACGCCATCCAGATAGTAGTCTGCAATTGCCCGGTATCGCTGGCATTGACAGTTGCCATATTCCGAATGCTCGGCGAAATAATTTTAACAGTGGAAACATTCGATAATTTGTTTGTATGCGGCTGGCTGTTATTGTATTGTTCATGTTGTTCAGATGTTTGTCTGCTGAATAAGTAGAAAGTGATATTGACATTGACATTGTATACCTAAATAGAGCAGATTCCGGTTGAGTCGTACGGCATGGCATTATTTTTCGTTGAGGTGCTAGATTTAATGTTCAGAAAGTGCTGGATCGTATGATTGCAATATAGATGATGTGTATTAAAAATTCACTAATGAAGAGTCACTGCAGGAATTTACCAAGAATTTGCATGCGAATGACATTGAATATATGAACATATTGTTGTTTTTACTTTTTTTTTGTTTTTTTATTTTGTGATTATTGTTATTTATCAGTTTGTCTATCTTCATGAGATTTTGTGATGTTATTTATTGAGTTTTTTGTGAATGCGTTATGATTGTGTATTACTTATATCTTTCTGTCTTGCTGATATTGTTATTAGGAACTCTAATTATTATTGTGTCGTTATTATTATTTTAATTTTGATTATTATTCTTATCATAACAATTGTACAATGGTATATTGTTTAAGGTAAGATGTTCGCTTGAATCTCGTTCTTTCGTAGAGCCAGCCACTGTCTCCTTGTCTCGCAACGGTTCTTTTTTGATTCAAAAACGGCTCTCTATCTTTCACAGTTGCCGTCATTTTGTGGTCATTAAAAAAAATTTTGAAAACAGATTTGAAATGTTGTTATCATGATTGTTTTTGCATATTACTATTGATAAGATATATGTTATAATGTAGTATTTAACGTGGATGTGCAGCTGTAATTTTGCGTGTAGATTCTCTCAATTTAAAGACTACTGAATTCGTCGTTCTCACTGAAGAGTTTTTATTGTGACTTTTTGATGTTTTAGTAGCATTCGAAAGGAAAATTTAATATTTCATATTTGTTATTTGAAAACTAATTGCACTAACTAGTGATGTCTAATATATAATTGAAATAATATCTGATTATAAATAACATTAACTGTTCATAAAAGTTTAAAAACGTATGTACATATGAAATAATGATTATGTAAGATTATGATGATGATGTTACTCGATGAGATGGTGGTTGAAGTGATCATAATTTGAGAGTTGATGGATTGATTATAAAAATATTTTGAAAATTTTTATTTCTGTCTTCGTTTCTCGTCTTTTTTTTGTTTTTTGTCATATTGCTACTCTTTTATCAATGAACATAGATGTCTCATAACAATAAATAATTTAATTTGAATTCGTAATTCCATATAAAGTCTTTTTTTGAAATTTTTTATCAGATTGTCGATGAATATTTGTCGTGATTAGGATGAATAATTGAGATGAAATTGCGCAAAAAAAAATGGTCATCATCTTGTCAAATCGTGCTGACAATGTAAAAATTTTATCATCTCATTTGTAGTGTTCTTCTCTAATGATAATAATT